ATCAAAACCAGCTCGAGGGCAGGTATGAGACAATAAGCACAGATGAAAACTTTTCAAGCTGGCAGAAGGCTGTTCTTGGGACTGTTTCAGGATCTCTGTGATGTGTAATCCAGACAGCACAAAGGTGCCCCACCATGCTCATGTCTCTAAGGCAACCTGGGTTTGGCACCACCAGCAGCAAAGTGTCCTAGCTAGACCCCCTTCTGACTTCCCAGCCTGATCAGCCAGGAGTCCTTTCATGTCTCTGTTGGGTGGGAGCAGTTGTCATGGTCTGAAGTCACCAGTTCCTCTGGGGCCATGTCAAGGGGCTGCCAGCCCTGCTGCACTGCCACGTGTTTCAGAGCAGTCTATTTGCTGAGCCTGCTCCTCAGAAACACTGTGTGCACGTGAAGCTGCTGAGGTCTGAGAAGTTACTCCAGCTTTGCAGTGGGCTGAGGGAAGAGATAATTTGGTGTAAGGTCTCCCCAAGTCTGGGCACAACCTAAGCAGATTCACCAGGGCCAAAATCTCTTCAATGACTCTGCTAACAAATGACAAAATGGAATTAAATGTGGAGAAATGCAGAGTAATTAATCTGCAAGCAGTGAATTGGTCTGGGGAATATGCCTTAACAGAGCAAGCATTCAGCAGAGGAATGAAGAGAGGGATTTGATGCGTGTGTGGGGTTAGTTTCTTTTGGAAAAATCCTTGAAACTGTCTGCCTAGATCACATCCGTAGCAAAAGGGCAAGCAAGACACAAGGCTGCATTAATGGAGGGACAGGATAAAATCTAAAAGAGGTGGTGTGTCTGTTGCTGGTAAAGGCATTAGCTCCCACCTGGAATATTGTCAGCAGTGTTGGCCACTGCACCAGTGTAGCATAAGGCAACCAAGAGTAGCCCTGCAGAACCTGTGCACAAAGGTGAGAGAGCTGGATTTCCCTCCACAGGCTTCTTCCCACTGCATCCATTCATCATCTAAGAGGAAATCTGAGGAGCACAAAGGATTTCCCATTAACTCTAACAGATGTTGGGAGTTTTGAAGTCAGTTATATTTTTCTCCAGCGTATTTATTTCTCTCTGTGTTTCTCTTGTTCCCTTCCACCCATTTCTTCTCTTCTTTTACGGTTTCCTCTTTTCTTGCTTCTTTCTGTCCTACCCCAAGCCAGGGGGTTGGTTTGTTTTTCCCTATTACATTGCTTCTCCTCCACCCCTGCCCAGGAAAAGTCAACTCACTTCTGGCTCCTGAAGGAGTCCCATCTCCAGTGAAGGGATTGTTACTTACAGGCTGTGCAGGAGGGTGAAAAATACTTTTTTCCACATAGATTTGGATGAAAAGAAATCAAAGCCATTGCTTTTGAAGAGGAGAAGCTCAGCAATCAAACTGAAGGCAGGGCATAGAATATTACTCAAACTGACCATTGAAACTCTCAGATGTGGCTTTCCTTCTACACTCAAAGGAGTTCACAATGCCATGGCTGTTTCCAATCATGAAAAGTCAGTACTAAAATCTTCCTTTTTTCCCCCCGGTGTATATTCAGAGCAAGTTCAGCACGTTGCTCTGAATTTACCCAGCTATAGAGGACAGCTGATTTAATTTGAGCTGTACAAGAGGCAAACTTATTTTGCTTTCCCTTGGATTATGGTAAGCTTGTCAATCAATGCCCAGGGCCAGTCCATACAACACAGTTGTGCCAGGTAAGAAATACACTTGTCAAACTGTCAAAATATCCATTTCTTCTGCTCTTCTCTTAACCAGTTGTGAACACTGAAGGAAGGCTGAGAATTTTAGGTCTGTATGTACGTTGAGCTGTAAGGTATAAGTCACAATCATGATAGCACCTTAAATGATAGCAATTAGTATTTCTCAAAACTAGGGCTTTTTTCCCTCTTCATTGACTGATACAGCAATCAACGGACTGATGCACAAAATGATAAAATAGGCCTCTAATAAGAAAAGGAAAACCTATTATTCTTGCTGTTTAAATCCCCTGAAGCAGGATTGGCTATTGCTATAAAATCAGTGGAATTATCCTTGCTATTTCAACTTGCCAAACCAACCTTTTATCCCTTTAAATTCAGGTCTTTAGAGTAACTTGCCAAAATAATCTCTTGGCACCACTGAGGTGAGAATCCACATTGTGCTGCTCACATAACTTCCCTGCTCATAGAACCATTCATCCTGGAAAGATTTTGACTGGGGACTTGTGCTTTTAACCCTTTTAGCTGCTTTTGAAAATACTGCCTTGCTATCTTGCGGGAAAAGATCATGCCATAATGTACCATGACAATGGTGGTTGTGAGGAGTGTAAAGAAACATTTAAATAGAAATTACAGCTAGAAATGACAGCATGTAAGGAAAAATCAAATTACAGGATTTACCTTCCAATTCTTAAGGGCAAAGAAATTTATTTGGCCCTTTTCTTGGGTGTAGCTGGGCGAGGGAAAGAAATACCGAGTCTCATATGATCTTAATTATACGCTCTGGGTGCCAGCAACTTTCAGGGTACATGTGGATTCTTGACTGAGGCTCAGTGTGTGAACTTTGTCACTAGAGGACTGTGTCACACACAGAGCTGGGACAGGAGCCATCATTCACAATTCAAACAAACCCCAAGCCCTTCAGAGACTGAAAAGAAATATTCAGTTAACCATAAAAACCGTGGCACGATTCTCCATACCCTCGTGCCCTTGGGAACAGAAATACTTCAGGCTTCAAGTCAGGCCCTTCTTGTGAGGCTCTTGGACTGAACTGGAACCATCAGCTATTCAAACTATTGTACAAAATCCCGCTCTTTTTCAACTCCCAGCAGTTTTTCTAGACAAGGAGCGCTATAATTCTAAGCTATAGATGCTTTCACTTCAAAACTTTTCCCTTGATTTCTTGGGTGTCTTGGCAGAGAGTGTTTGGACACGACAGAGCCTGGAGGTCCATGCCTTGCCATGGGATGGAGCTGACAGTGAAGAAAAGGGGCAGGTGCTGGGTGCAGGAGGCCGATTGTTACCAGCTGCAGCAAAAGTGCCTGTTTCCTGTCAAGTTTCAACAAGAAAATCTAGGTGAAAGAGATGATGTTGGGAACATTTTTCTGTAGATACTTGGTCTTTGTGTGTTGACTGAAGGCCTGCAAGACTTCGCTTGTCTGGCTGTAAGCCCCTCGGTGGATTTTGTAACAGCCCTTGAGCATGAGAGATGGTGCAGCTGCTTCAATCCTCCCACCTGAGCCACCTGAGCTGCAGGGAGATGTCAGGCATGTTGCACCCTTACCCCTAGGACACATCTGAGTTTGGTGTCACAACGGGAATCTCGTGAGGAGCAGGAAGGTGTCCTTCATGTTACCTCTAGAACTGAAGTTAGGCCACTTTCATGTTCCTACCTCAACTGTGTGTGGGAGGAAGAGGGCACACAGGGATATTCTTGTGCTCTTCTGGGATTACATCCTTAACAGAAAGCATACACAACTGGGGGGGATGTTCCTGTGGCCAGCTGTGTGACTGCAAAATTACTGCTCTCGTGATAAGCAATAGAGGTTCTGCTGCTGTTCAGAAATATACTGAAGGTTCAGACCAGAATGAAAATCAGTCCTACACATGGTTGTTCACACTGTGGGCTCTTTGTACTGTCTTCAGGGGGAGAAAGTCTGCTGTGGAAATCCATCATGTCCTGGCAATTTAGAAGAATTAGAGGGAACATGCTTACTTACCTAAAAGAACAAATGCGAACATATGGAGATAGCCTTTTTTTTTTCTTAACCTTAGGAAGTATCAGCAAAGATTTTCATGTTTGTAAATTGTCATTTTCTTAGAGCAAAGCCTTATGGAAAAGTCAAGGTTTTTTTATGGAAGACGTGATGGAAACTATTACAGCTCTGATCCTCACTATTGCTAGAAAAAACAGAGGTAGCAGCAGAGGAAAGTAAGCGCTAAAGGTCAGCTATGAGCCACAGGAAAAATGATGTGGCCTCATCAGAGTTTTCTTTGGCTTCCTGAGATCCCTACCTGCCCTCAAGAGAGTCCTTTCTTCATTGGCTCCTGTGTGGATCTGTCCTCTGATGGCTGAACAAATTGCTCTTCTCAGCAGTGACCAAACATGAGAATAACAGCTTTTCTCATGAGGATCACATCTGGGCAACTGCTGTCATCTTTCTCTGTCCTGCTTGCTCTAACTCTTGACTTGGAGGGGGGAAGACTGGTGTTTCAATGTATGAAATGCCAACTGGGATCAAATCAATAACATTGATTTCATCTTGCGCCTCCAAAGAGCTGGGACTTTTCCTTTTAATTTTTTTTCCTGTAGCTCTATTCTTTGCGAAGTAGAAGAGTGAAACAAAGGCATTGAGTGCTGCCAGTGGTCCTCAGGCACAGAGGCCAGAGCCAGAACTGCAGAGCCCTCCATGGGTTTGAATAGCTTCACTCTCGCTGGACTAAATCGAGTTTGGATGTAGGAACTTGGTTTTCACTTTTTGGGTTGCTTTGGGTCACTGTTTGTGAGTCCTAACAGGACAGAGTGCCCTTGGTTGATGGGACCAGCCCTGCAGCCAGCCCAGGGCCAGATGCCCAGCTGGTGAAGGTGACCACATACCTTAACCTTAGAGAGTTAGGCCAGGTTACAGTTGCCTATGTCATGTCTCTGTAGGTTTTTTGACACATTATAGTCGTACCTACACTGACTGTTAAAGACAGTCATTGGTGACTTCTTTTGTGACCAGAGCAAGCTCTCTGCAGCAGCAGGTACTGCAGGTTGTTGATGCAGCCCCTTGCACCTACAGAGCAGGCAGCAAGGGTGGGAGGAGGGTCTGCTCTGCTCCCCACTTCTCAGGGCAGTATGGACACAGCCTGTAAATCCTGCTGTGGAGCAGTTGTGGTTTGTCAGGTTAAGGCCCCTGGAGTGGTTATGGATGCTAAAGTAATGCCAAGATCTTCCTATGGACCCAGTAGTTCATAAAGTATCAGAGGGCAGAGCAGGGCAATTCCTAGTAAGGCAACCAAAGTAAAATATAAATGGAAAGATGTAAACTTGATAATCCAAATGAGCTTACTTTCCTTTTTATACAACAGATGTTGTTTGACCTAGGAGAAAGAATAATATTATAGAAATGGAGATCAGTCTGAGGGGAAAAAATAAAGTCATATAAAAATAAACCACAAATAGCAGCTGCTTGAATTGTATTTCTAATATATCAGTGTTGACAGCTCTCTCTGTCCCCCAGTTGAGCCAGGAATCTTATACAAGTAAAGAAGAGATGAGGAGGGATGCGAGCAGAGGCAACGGAGAGGCAGAGATGATACTGCTTTGTGTCGGTGAGTGTCCTGGGCAGGAACAACCTTTGGAGATGTGTGAGGGAATGTGGAGGTGTCACTGCACAGCACATGGAGGGGCTCAGGGTCAGAGGCTCTTGCTGTTGGTTGCAGTGAGTAACACTCATCTGCAGTTAGGAACAGCAATGTACAGGGTAGAATAAAGAATAGTAAAATAAATAGAATAAAATAATCCAAACTTGTGTTGTTGCCATAGTCTGAATGCCCATTTGGAGTGAGCTTTCTGTGGAGCATTAAATTGGTGTCCTGTGTTTATCTATGCCAGATGAGGAGCTGAGCTGAATGTGTAAGGGTGGTGGGTTACATCCTTGGGATGTAAATGCAAAGCAAGTTTCTTACTCTGTAGGCTCAGTCAGTGGGAGAAATACTACCTAGAAAAAAAAAAATAAAAGATCCTGACTTCTCAGTGCAGCAGCTAGTGGCTGTGGACTGTCAAGACTGGGCTGTTCAGCCAGGACTGTGTGCCTAGGTTTGATTTGCAGCAAGTGGTAAACACCTCCTCTTTGACAACAAGTGATCTCTGACAGGGGCTTAAGATGAACACAAAAAAAAAAAAAAAAATTAGGGCATTCCTTCGTTGTTTGTGAACAGTTAGGCTGGAACTGGCATGATATGACTGTGAGAAAAACTGGCAGTGCTTTCCTTTGTGTGTGAGGAGCTGTGCCTTGGGCTGTGTGGTGCTGGGAGCCCGGGCAGGCACGGTGCAGCTCCGGCGTCCTGTCCGCAGCGCGCTGTAGAGCAAATAACACATTTTTATTTTTATACAAATGTGCATAACTTCATCCATTTCTTGTGGCTGCTCTGACAGGAAAAGGAAATTTATGACGCACATCACCCATTTATTTGGCACAGGCAGTGTTTATTGCTGAGGGAGGCATTCTCATGGAATTGATTGCACAATTTCCTCCTGGTGTACTGTTTTCAAGTAATATCCCAAGACCTCTGTGTACTAAGATATAGGGACACTTCTTTAAGGCCTGCAGAATACTTCAGCAGAGGGGGGAAAAAGCCACATAGTGGAAAATAAAATGTAAAAATACAGTTTTAATCACACTGTAAATCTGGGTCTCTCTCCACTCTGCTGGGAGTGTCTGTGGAAACACCCACTCCCAATAGGTTAAAATTCTAGTTTTCTCCATAGAACTAAGAACAGCTTTGTATTTTATCACTGTTTCATTTTCACAGGTATGAAAGGTGGGGGTTTTGTCCTGGGTTACTTGTAGTTCATGCTTTAAGCATGCCTGGATGGTGGATATGTGGTGGGGGGAAAAATTCTGCACTTTGGAAAAAAGAGAATGGTATATGCGTAGTGTGATGGTTTGCTGAAAGGGTGGGATTGTTGCCTTTCCCAATAGGCAAAAAGGGGTTGAAACTGTTAATGTCACAAAAGGCAGGATGAGAGGGGTTGTTGCCTTGATTCAAAGAGCTGTGTGACAGCCATACTATGAATGGCACACCATAGAGAGAGAGAAACATCTGTCCTGGAAGAGAACTCTTGGGGTTTTATTTAAATTTTATATTTTTTTTATTATTTAATCTGCCCATACACATTCATTTGTACCAAATCTTTGGTATAATAGTTGTCTCCATTTGCATTTGGAAAGGCATGGAGTTGGATGCTTGCACACAAATATGTGCCAGGTGATGACACTGGTTACAAGTAATCATGGACTGAAGATTGCAACCAGAAAAATCAGAGCTCTCTTTTGAAAAGATGACTCAAAGTGCAGGGATGGAAAAACAGTGGTGCATAACAGCAGTTCTGGACAATAGATTCTGCTCCCTTCCACTCCATGGGGAATGTCAGTGACAACCCCACACGTATCTGCATGCTGAAGCTACACATTGCTTCTGAAAGAGTTGCCTGATGAATAACTTTTTTTCTTTCCTGTCTGCCTGGTAAATGGCTCCTCACCTGCTTCACTCTCCTAATTTCCTGGAGGGGAGTTTGGCAGCCAGCACAGCTTTAATTTTGTAATTTCACTTCTCTGGTGTCTCTGGTTTCTGCTAACTTCACAATTATTCTTTCAGGCTCCAGATGAAAGCGATCTCCTCCTAAGCTTCTGTTTTCACACTTCTGAATGGCAGCTTCCTCATCTCAGCCTCCTGATGCTCCTCCTCGGGGCTTGAAGCTGGGGACCAGCTTGAACCCTGAGTGTGTGTTCTGCAGCTCTCGAGTGTACAGCTGTGGCGTGGGCTGGAGTGGGTGTTTGTTAGCACAGGGGAAGCTCACTGGTAATGGCCTTTTGTATGTGCTGACCTCTGAACCAGAAACAAGATTCAAACCTCAGAGGAGACCGGTGATTAATCAAGTTGGGGATCAACTGTGACTCAACCTTTAGATTCCCAGCTGAGGTTGTGTCCACGGCTGATTAAAAGAGGGAAATATATTTAGCTATTTACAGCTGTATCTCCCTCTGAAAGAGGACAAGGCACCATGGATAAACATATTTATGTTTGTTAGATGTGCAAATTGTGGTTCCTTTGAAAACCTCACAGTTTATCATAGAGCCTCAGAAAGCACAGGGCTGTTTATTGACGCTAGAGGACTTCCCGAGACTGTGCCGTGACCATCCCTGCTCAGAGTACTTGACACAGGCTGGCACGTCCACCAGGGAAAAACACCCAGGCATTGCCATCTGCACATGAAAGACTAAAGGTGGCTCCAAGCAGTCCTCTGTAGGAGATAATTTTCCCCCTCAATTAGGTTACAATTTCTAGATGCTGCACCTCAGAAGCCTACACTCTTCCCAAGCCCAGCTCTACAGTCAGCCAGTGGTGAACAACATACAGACTTTCTATTGCTAATATATTTCAGAGTGCTGTGTGATATTAGCAAACTCCAAATAGCTGTCAGGACCTGAAGGTATTCTGGAACATCCTTTGATGTTACGAAGTAATGCGTTTTCCATATTATTCCTTTGAACACATTATATATGCAAAGTCTAGCACTTCTTATAGGAGAGGTGGAATTATCATACAATAAGATATTTTTTTCCTCTAGTTCTTTCATGGCTCATAACATATAAAATTTCTCCTTAAAATCCAGGCTAGGAACTCAAACTTAATTTATACAGTATTGAAAACATTACAGGGCATAAATCAGTTCAATTTTTAAAGTTCCTGCATGATATTTTCAGAGCAGCCGAATTCCTTCATTCGCCTGGACTCCTTCCAAAATTCTGCCAGCGCTCATGGAAATCTAAATAACTTTGGAGAAAAAGCAGGTTTTCTGTGGAGGCTCAGATTACCCTGTCACCCTTCCTCCACTGCAGACAGGCCTCTGATAAACATGGAGAATAGGGACAGGGAAATTACTTCATTACTTCATGTCCTTTTCAATTACAAACATCAAGGAGTCTGAGCCTCCTGCCAGCTCACGCCCCAGACCCTTGCAAATCTGTGGCTTTCAAAAGCCAACAGTTGCATTTCCTTTGCCAGCAGGGATAAGCGATAGAAAGCGAGCAGGGGAGCTCACTTGAATTTTATTTCTGAGTGTTATTTAAAAAGTTTCAAATCTCAGCTCTGTTTATTTAAAGTAGGACTCCAGCTGAAATGTAAGTCTGTGAACTAGAGAAGTGATCAAAACAGGACCGCACCTTCCTTTCTTTTCTGAGAATTAATCACTTACTGGTGGTGTGTTACTGTAATCTTCCTGTGATCACTTAACCTGGAAGTGGTACTTCCAGAGAGCTTTGTGATATTCTCCTGCTGGCATCTTCAGATCTACTATTTGTACCATTCATCTGTTTTCACAGCACATGAGGATAATGCATTTGTTTTCTACCACCTTTGCTTTGTGTTTTGATTTACACCTAAAGAAACAAGTGTATTTTCTTTGATGTAATTTTTCCATTATTGATGAACCAATATTAGAAAACCAAGGCTTTTTAAGATCTTCCTTAGAAACCTCGTTATTTCTACCAAATAACAAAAAAAGTAAACCCCAGTGTCAGAACATTGTGGCAGGAGTGAATCTGATTTCCTACTTAAAGCACAAACCATAGAGGCTCAACCTCTGCTCAGTTTTTAGGTTTTTTTAGGCTTAAAGTCACCAAAATAGAAGCCTGTGTTTGGGTTAACCACAGGTGTCTGTGCATAGCTCTGGGAGGGTTTGCTGGGATTATTCTGTTCCTCTTTTTTTACACCATGATTCTGCAGTGTGGGCTCAGGTGACTTGGTACCTCAACTGGCCAGATGTCTGCCCTGCAGTGGTGTTATGTCCTGATCACCTTTGTGATCATCTTTGTGGTCAGGAGAGAGAGAGAAGGGAGAGCAGGACCTGTGAAAAGGTTGTGGGGTTCTTCAGTGCTTCGCAATTCAGGTTTTGCTTTGATATGAATTCAACAATCCAAACATTCTTGTGAAATGAATCTGCAGTGGGTGTGGGTAGAGCAAACAGGTGATGACATGGAAATCAAGAGGCTATCCAGAAGTTCTCACTGCATCTTTTCCCAGGTTTTACTTGTTTCTTACTTGCACATTACTTGAATACTTCTGTTTAAGTCAGTGGGAATTTTTCGAAGTGAAATTGAAGTTGTTACCTAGAAGGTGTGCAGAATCTTTTCGATGCCTTCAAAGGTTCATCCCTTGGCTGGAACTCTCCTGGATTCAGGCTCTGCATGGGTACGTACATGTATGTATGTGTGTGTTTGCTTCTTGATATTCTCTGCTACCTCTTGGGCCATAAATATTGTGTGAACCACAACAGAGGCATGTCTACTGCTGGTATCAGACCAAGTGTGGAAGTACATAAAACAAAAAACTACTGAGGAAAAGTTCACCAGACTTGGAAACTCCCAGCTGGCCAGGGAGCTGCCTGGAATGAATGATCTATACCTGGAATAATTTTGTGTACTCACTGACTCCCTAAGATAGGATGCCAAAACTGGTTTTTTGCATAATGCTAAGGTCACAATGATGTAGGTATTTTTTAGTTAATGGAAATTTTGGATGCACTGTAAGCAATTTTTTCTTTTAAGAAGGAAGACTGCAGATGGACTCTCATTCTATTTGCTGATATGTAATAAGGAAAGGTGTATCAACCCAAGAATCCTATTGTTGTGACAAATCACAAGAAGGGGAGTAAGACAGTGCCTGCTAAATGTAGCCTGTGCAAATCCAGTACATTCCAAATCCATGGAGTGAAATACTGTTTGGAATAAAATATGATCGAAACATTTCTGGAAATATAACTCCACTGGCTAGTTCCCCACCTGGACTTAGTTTTCATATTGTAGGAGAGTAATTAAATTTTTATTCTTTTTAAATTATAGCCCCCCCCAACCCAATATCAGCTCTCTTGTCTTCCCACTGAAGCAAGCACTGTTAAGCTGCTATAACTTTAAGAGCATGAAAGCAAATGTTGTAAAGAGGTCACTGTAAAGGTCACGCAGCAGGTTTGATGTGTCAGTGGATAAATGATGGGATCACATCTGGAACAGTTTGGTGAATAAATAAAATGTGAAAGCTCATATATCACTGCCCACCTTCCAATCTGTAAGGGAAAGAGAAAATAAATTCTCTAATAACCTTGTAAAGCACATAAAAGATATTGAATAAACTCTTGAAATTTTGTGACTAAAACTGTCTGTATTAAATAATGATTTTAAGAGTGGCAAAAAGCTTGAAATACAGTATGAGTCTTCCTTGTAAAATGTTGTTTTATTTTATGGTTTATTTATTAGAGTATACTTGGATAGCTTTGAAAAATATAATTTTGAGTTTAACTATGTGTTATTGAAACACTCTTCCTTTAGATATGTCCCCCAGAGGTATTTTATATTTACACTTAGGGAAAAGAATTTTCAATTTTTATTACACAGTGCTGCATTATTGCTTATACTGCCACTATATTCTGCCTTCTGCAAGTAACATTAATATATGCATATTTTACTGCCATTACCTTCAAAAGGCCTTAGAAAACCCATAGGTCTAAAATGATTTCTCTAAGTTGGTCATTACTGACTACTGAATTAAGATACCAACAGGCTGTATATTGTTTTACTGGGCCATTAATAATAAGCCCCTGTGAGCTGTAAGACAGCAAGCTAGAAACTAAGTAATTTCAGTCACCAAAGGAATGTACAGTATTAATAAAAGCCTCATAGAAACCTGTTCTGGAGTGTGAATGCCTTTGGTGTCTGATGAGGCACCCAAGGCAGGGGGTGAGTTTTGATCTCCAGACTCCTGCAAGCAGCTCCTTGGGATGTGAGTGGCAGTGGCAGGGGCTGGCGTGGCTGTGTGGGGAAGTATCACACTTGTGTAGAAAAACAATACATGCAGATGTGTGATGTACAGTCACTGCCAACAGCTGCAGAGGAGTCTTGGTGCTCGTTTTCCTCCCTTGCACAGGCCATTGCAGTGGCCCAACTGTGCTCTGAGGCACAGAGCCACGTGTGCCATGCTCTGCTGGAGGCCCCGGGACTGGGCAGGCACTGGGTGCACCCAAACACAGGCTGTGCTGTGGGAATAGCAGACAAATTAGTCATGACACTCCCACAGTTTTGCAGGGAAGGAAGAGCTGAAACCAGTGCCTAATGTAGTCATGGAGAAAGTGTCATCAGCTAATCTGGGAGCAACAGGGTGAACACTGTTGTTGGAGGGTATGGATGTAGGAAAGTGTGGAGTGGATGGCTGGAAAACCAAGGTACAGTGGGTAGGCTGTTAGGGCTGGGATAGTTCCTGAAGAAACCTGAAATGTCACCAACTAATGCTTGTTTGTCTCCTGCCTTTCACACGTGCAGTGTAAGGCATTTAGCATCTGAGGTAGATGATGGAACAAGAACTGAAAAAAAGGATAGGCAAAGTCTAAGCTGGTTATAACCACAAATGTAGCTTTTGTTCTGGAAGACCATGTTACTTGTAACCTTAAACTTGGAAATCACAGTTGGTTTTGTGACTTTGCTAAAAATCACTGAAACTGATGCCAGGAAGCAAATCAATGACCTACAAGAACACTTTATTTTCCCAAATATGATCTTGTTGCACATAGGTCAATCCTGCAATTTCTCCAATTCATTTATTGAGCTCCACCTTAATGTGGATTTGGTTTCTTGTCCCTGTCAGACAGCTGTTCTAAATATCTTATTCCTTTGATGAACCGAAACCCCTTCAAATATCCAGCTCATACTTTATAGCCAACTTAGCTCCATTAAATTTTTTGGCAAATACATGGTCATGCAGTCTTTGAAAACAGCCATATTTAATACAGCCTCATGCAGCTTTTTTTCCTCAGAGGAAAGGTAATTTAACTTACAGAGAGAATTTTATACTTTAGCACAGGTTTCTGATTCCCTGAGCAGAGCATTGAGTGTGTCTGTCCTGCCATGGAAACTTGGGCTTTTCTCTTTCATTTTCCTCTGAAGGATTCTTGTTACTCTAAGGATGAACAGGAGCATGTGAGATACTCCACAGAGAGTGACAGAGCTGGGGCAGAATGTGACACCAGTTCGAAGGCAACA